CCCATGTATGATTGGAAGAGGGAAATGAGAGTGGTCTGGGGGAAATACCTGTCACCTCATTGATCATCTGGCTTGAAGGGAAAATCAGGAGGAACACAGGAGCCAAGCAGCTGTAACTGAGCTGGTGACATTATTCTAAGCCATTGTGTCAGCTTGGGCTTCATACACTCCCCAGGTTGGTCAGCACTGACCCAGAAACTGGGCACAATGGTGGATCTTGTTGTGAAGGACCTGGGAAGGCATGAGCAGAAAAACAAATTGGAGAATATACAATCTCAGCTCCCAAATGCTTCCAGGTGTCTCTGTGCACGGGTGTGCGTGTGACGGTTTATCTCTTATAATAAATCTGTTGGTTGCTGTCTACCTTCTTGCTGTGTTCATTTACAGCTCAACCCAGGGTGGGTTTGAGGCTGGGAGACCGATACCCTTTGTGACCCTTTCACTCAGTTTCTGCAAACCTGCAGCCTTGAACTAAGCCTGCAGAACCACAGACCCCATAGAACAGCTAGCAGAGCAGGGCATAATGTGGTGGTCAGTGGCTTGTGTTGCCACAGTGGGGGATGCTGGGCAGGAGCACAGACAGAGGGTGTTTCTGATTTTCTATCTTGAAATTCCTTCCCTCAGGGGCTTCCAAGCTCAGGAAGCTCTTGTCATCTCCTAATTGAGGCAGATGAGGATGCGCGTTCTGTTGGGAGGCATTTCCACTTAATCAAGGCCAGCCATATCCACGCTCTAGGATTAGGCAGAGAGCTGCAGGTCTGCACAGTTGCTCAGGCAGCCTGTTTTCTGTCTTCGCTACCTTGTTATCTGGCCCTTCTCTGAATTCCTGTAGCTTTTCCAGGACTTAAACAATGAGATTAACAGCTATCATTGTTTGAATGCCTACCATATGCTAGGCTCTCATGTGAATCTTTTACAAATATTATTGATAACAACAACAGCAAAGATAACTAATATTTATTAAGCATTTACTATGTGCCAGGCACTGTGCCAAACTCAGCCCATGTATTAACTCATTGAGAATCCTGACAATAAGGCAACATGGGCCTCATTATTTTTACATACAAGTAATAAATGGTGGAGTTAGGATTTGGATGTAGATTGGTCTGAGTCCAGGGCCTCTGCTGTTTTAATTTGTGATGTGCTCTTGCTTGGTCTTGCTCTCTAGTCAGGCCAGGGCACTGTTAGCTGAGATAAGCTGGGGCAGACACAAAGGGCTAGGACATGAAATTAGAGCAGGAGGGTGAACAAAGTGTGATGATCCTCCCCAAGAAGTTTAGTAAGCAGGTGGGAGCCCTGGCCCATGCCTGTAACCCCAGCAGCTTGGGAGACTGAAGCGGGAGGATTGTGAGTTCAAAGCCAGCTTCAGCAAAAGTGAGGCACTAAGCAACTCAGTGAGACCCTGTCTCTAAATAAAATGCAAAATAGAGCTGGGGATGTGGCTCAGTGGAAAAGTGTCCCTGAGTTCAATCTCTGGTAACTAACTAAATAAATGAAGAAATCCAGTAAGTTGTTAATAATAGGAACAGGATAGGATCCAACAGGAAGCACAGGGAGGCTTTGAAAGATGAGATGAGCAGAGAAACGGAAGGTCCCCCGAAGTCCTCAGATGTCCTGACAGGCAATGGGGCTGTGCAGGGTGCAGGAAGCCTGACAGCAGGGGGCAGACCCTGGGTATTGGACAGGGGTTCAAGGGCAGAACAGCAGATGCTGGAGCAAATAGAGCTGGCTGGGGCACAATTCACAGTTCTTGCTCTGCCCTTTCCAACTTACCTCCTGAGTTTCAGTTTCTTTATCTGTGAGATGGGAATGATAATATTCCCTTCTTCAAAGGTAGAAATGATAACCAAGATAAAAATGAAGCACCCTCTGTGATTCTCAGTGTTGAGGAAACGTCTGATGGGCAGATTGCTATACTTTGAAGACACTGTCTCAGGCACAGGGACTAGGTTATTACCACAGGAAGCCAAATAAAGAGTCCAAGGGGCAGCATCCTAAAATTCCTTCTGAGATCAGTATTTGTTAGAAACTGAAGGTGATTAAATGACATCAGTCTCCTACAGAAGGGTGGCTAAAGCAGGGGGGACAAGCAGGTACTGCTATTTTTATGGATAAGTTTTAGAATTCTGACTTTGTACAGCCGAAAGTCTCATTCAGGGCTTTGACTTCCAGTCTGATGCCTTTTCAATGACATGGTGCTGCTGGCAAATAAGCACTTGACAAAATATGTATCACCATGTCAATGGCACATGCACTATAGTAATTTTAAAACATTTTTGCAAATTCTTTGACATTCCTCTCATTAAAGGGTAGCATTGATTACTCTCCTCTTGAACATGGACCACCCTTGTTCCTCATGTAGAGAATGCTGTAAAAGTGGTCTTCTAAGATGGTTAGAAAGGGTGAGACAGCTGCTGCCCACCTCCCTCTCTCAGGATGCTTGCCCTTGGAACGAATCACCATGTTAGGAGGGAGCTCAGGCTACTAGAGGAGCCACATGAAGTTTTGAACTAACAGCCCCAGCTAAGGTCCTAACTGACAGGTTCACTTGCCAGACAAATGAATGAATGAGAGAGACCAGATGATTTGGTTCTAGCATTCAAGCTGCTCCAGCTGACATCAACTGGCGTAGGGATGAGCTGTCCCCAGCAAGCCCTGCCTAAACTGATGTTTCTGAGAAAAATAAATGCTGTTGTTTTAAGCTTTTAAGTTGTGAGGTGGTTTGTTATGCAGCAAGAAACAAATGGAACATGCGCATCCATGGCCGGCTGAGCACAAAACAGAAGCAGCCGGCGTAGTTTTAAGAGCTTGTGTTCTGAAATCAGACACTCACTTCTCAAATTTTGGCTCTATTGGCAAGTGTCATAGCTCTTGAGACTGTTTTGTCCTCTGGAAGATGGTGATAATAGCCATATTAAACTTATGGGTGTTGCATTAATTTGCTTGAGAGTCAGCAAAATACCACAGGCTGGGTAGCTTAAACAACAGAAATTCGTTCATTATGGAGACTGAAATGTTATGTCACACGACTAAACTGATCAGGCTCACTCCAAATGAATTTGGGGACTAAATAAAGACACAGACACAGAAAGTACCTTTTCTTTGGGTTCAGTGATGGCTCCTCAGCCGCAGCTCCCACAAGGTGGGCAAGGCAGGCTCAAGAAAGAGAAGAAGGAGCACGTGCTGAACCCTTTTATTGGGGAGAAGCCATTCAAATGAATCAAGGGGTCAGGTTTCAGAGAGTTGAGTCTAGCCTTCTGATATCTTGCTGTCAGTAGGTTGACTGACATCTAGGAAGGCCACGGCCATCTCGTGCTAGGTGGGGATCATAGGCAGAACAAGAGAAAAGAAGCTTACATTGCCCGCCCAAACAGAGAGGCAACGTTGGTGTAGGTTCAGTCCACCCTGTGCGCTCAGTGCTCACAGTTCACACACACACAGCCCACGGCTGGCTGGCCACACCTCCACATTCTCGTTGTTCAAGGCTGAGGGGCATGCGGTTCCTATGCTACAGCTCCCAACACTGAAAGTCCAAGTCCAAAATGGAGATGTCAAGTCAAGATCAGTGTTTTTTTTTCCTTCCCAGGACTCTTTCCTTGGCTTGCAGATGGCCTCCTCCTTGCTGTGGTCTCTTCTCTCCGTATATACGTCTGTTTCCATATTTCCTCTTCTTATAAGGACACCAGCCATACTGGATCAGGACCTCATTCTAACCTCATCATATTTTTAAAGAGCTTATCTTCAAATACAATCACATTTCAGGAGTATTGAGAGTTTAGGACTTTAATGTGAATTTTGGAAGGAACATAATGTAGACTGTAATTGCTATTATATGAGGATTAAATAAGGTAAAAAAATATACATAATAGGTTAGTGGTAAACCCAAGGTAAGTGTTTAATAAATAAACACTTATTTTATATATGTAATAGGACACTTATATGGTTACCTGGCACATAGAAAAAAGAGTTACTTACCTGGCACATAGAAAAAAGAGTCAACACTACCCTGTAGGTCCTAGTGGGAATCCTGTCTTTGTCTCATTTGGATGATAAGAGAAGGCCAGTCCTCTACTAAGCATAGTATGTCTCTCTGTTATCCAGCCTGGCCCTCAGCTTTGCGATGGTGGCAAGAGAGAGGCTGAGAAGTCCCCTCTGAAGGGAGGAAACAGCTTTATTTCCTGACTCTCCAGAGACATCTGCTTGAATTGTGGGGCCCCGGGAAGCGCACTCCTCAAGCCTGGGAGAAGGGATCCCAGGTGAGGGCAGGCCATAGTGGTGTGGAAGCCAGAAGCTGCTGTCTGACGTGGCCTGGGTGTTCCAGAACTGACCCTTGGAGTGGTTCCCGCTGGAGGCAATTTGGAAAAGGTATTGGAGAGAGAAAAGTCCGGATTCAGAAAACCTTTCTGCCAAGTCCTTTGTTTTCCTAATGTTGCCGCAGTGTCTGGAGCTGAATTTTTAAAATGGCATTTTCCTGGAAAGGAATTTTTGGTCTTTTTTGGAAATGTCTCATGTAAAACAAGATCACCAGTGAGCTGTGGGGTCTGATCTCCTGGGGGCAACCCTGGGAAACGGCCGGTTGGGGAGGGACTCTTGGGGGTGAGAAAAGGAACAAAAACAGAGTTGGATGGAGAGCAAGACGTGACGAAGGGGCCAACGTTCCCAAGTTAGAAATAGACTCAGGGCTCAGATTCATTCCAAGGAGGTCAGGCATCATGGTGGGGAGGAGGGAGGGAAGGGGTCCTGGCATGAATCTGTCGGAATGTCCCAAGAGCCCTTGGCGTAGCGCTCACAGTCTCCATCCATCCCAGAAATGGATCTGCTCCTGGGTCTGCCATTTCCTTCCCTCCCTGGTCTTGTATGTGAGAGGGCGGAACCACACAGCAGGGGCCACGTCTCCACCATCAGATTGAATTTTCTTTCTAAAGAGAGGAGTTATGCACATTCCTTCTAGAAGCTCCAAGAAGGCTGAGTTGTGTCTTCCCATCCAACTGGAGGGTTCTCGAGGGCGGAGACCATGTCCCTCCTCTATCTAAGGACCCCTAGAGTTGGAGACTTCGAACCCTTCCTCCCCTGTTTTGCTGAAACAGAGAAGGGCCTGGTTTATAGGTCTGTCTGACCCAGTGACCGGCTCCCCTCTGCTCCCACTCTTGCCTCTCCTCCCTTGTAAACATCACAGGCAAGACGTGCTGACCAAAAGTCCTGCTACAGGCTGCTTTGTCACCACCTCCCTCCAGGCCTGGGGCCAGAGCAGTGACTGTGGCCAAGTGGAATTGCTGGGGCAGGAAGGATCTTGGAAGTGCTCTGTGGAGTTGGCTTCTATCCTCTGGGCTTTGCTGTTACTCTTCTGTCTTGGCCTCTCTTCCCCAGCCTCTGATCTCCTGGGTCTGCGGTGACTCTGGGACTCCAAATGGGGTAAGAGTCAAAAGCAGGAGAATGGGCATCTGAATCCAAGCCACTTGAGAAATGATTTTATCCATGTTCTTGTCTGTATTGTGCCAGGCTGTGCTTTAGGCATGGGGTACATGGTGTTGAACAGGACAGATGTGGGGCTAACTGTCTGATATGTTGATATTTGGACAATCGTCTCATTAAGTGATTGTATAAATTCTGCTTTAAGCCTTCATGCTTTTGGAACTTTCCCTCCCTCCTAAGGCAACCTGTATAAATTTTGGAAAGGTTTGAAAATCAAAGAAGTTCCTCTGTTGATTGAATCAACATTGTTCCCCTCTGTCGCTTCCATTCATGGTCACAACCTGTTTTCAGACCTACCCAGGACAAGTTCTTTCTCTTTCTCCTGAAAATCTCTATGATAACAGATGTTGTGGTTTGGATGCGAAATGTCTCCCCAAAAACTCATGTATTAAAAGCACGGTTCCCCAATAAAGCAAGGTTCAGAGGTGACATTTTTAGGTAATGATTAAATTGCTTTCTATTATGTTGGCTAGTTTATCATTTTCTCTTACTGTTTTAAAAGTCACATGCATTTGTAATTTCTTTTAATCCTTTCATTTTTAAACATGCTGTGAATGTTACCAGTTTTGAACTGTTTTGATTCATAACACTTCTGACATCAAATGGGTGGGTTTCCCCTACACTAATAGCCATGTCCAACTCTCTGGACACTAACCGGTGTTCCAGGCTTAAGGGCTCAGTCTCAGAAGATGGCCCTCACTGCTGATCCAGTCACAGTACTGGGTGACTAATGGACCCAACACTTCAGTCTTACTTGGTTACAAAGTTGAGGTTTCCACCATCCCAATAATTTGCTGAAATAACTCACAGAAAATGGGAAGTCGTGTGATTTTCTATGACTTTTTTATGTGAAGAAAACACAAGTGGTCAGATGAAGAGTTACATAGGGTGGCACCTGGCAGGGTTCCAAGCCAGAGCTTCTGTCCCTGTGAGGTTGCTGTGTGCCACCTCTCTGCATGTGGATGTGCTTGGCAACTCTGAAACTCTCTGGACCCCTTTGTTTATGGATTTTACAGAAGTTCCATTATATAAGGAGGTTTAAGTCATTGGCTGTGGGTAATAGAAATCAAGCCTTGGCCCCTCTCCCTGGAGGCTGGGGGTGTGTGAAGCTGAAAGTACCACCTCTCTAACCACACTTTGGTCTTTCAGGAGACCTGACATCCTAAAGCTATCCAGAGGCCCCCAGCCACTGGGTCATCTTGTTAACATACATGACATTCACCACTCGGGAGATTCCAAGGGTTTTAGGAGCTGTGTGCCAGGAACCAAGGACAAAGATCAAACATTTTTTTTTTTTATTATATCATACTGTGCAATTTAGGATTACACTTGGCTGAACATAATAGAAAACAACAGATTAAACATCTAGGGGGTTATTTTGGAGCAAGAAGGCTAGAGTTAAGTAGTCAAAGCACATCAAGTACAGGTTATTTTAGCCTCCTTTTCTTTCATACTTAGTGTGTGACTTTGTCCTCTGTTCACGGTCACAAGGTGCCCCTGCTCCTCCAAGCATTTTGTCCTTATTCCGGGTAGGAAGATGAGAAAAGGGAGATGGGTAAGGGACATAGCACACTTCCCAGAAGCCCACTAGTAGGCTTTTGTTTGTCTCTTACCGGCTGGAATCAAAGCATATTGCCACCTCCGTGGGAAGGGAGCTTGGGAAGGAAGTAATTTTACCTGAGCACATTGCTCACCTGCGGAAAATCAAGGTTCTACTATAAGAAAGGAGCGAAAGAACATATTATGTTCGCCACTACAAGTATTTATAATTCACGCATACTACTGTAAGAATTTTACAATTATTCAGCCTCTTAGAATGCTCTTATTCTAACCACTCCCTTAAGTTTCATGTTTCTTTCTGGATTTATCTATTTCTTTACTGTCCTTTGATTCTTCCAATCCATTTCTTCCTCTCAGCTCAGATTCCTTCTGTGAGTGATGTATTCTCTTGTCTTTTTCTGAAGATGTGATGCCCCTACTCTGGAGTGACAGTTGAGCTTGGCTTGGTATTTTACAATGACAGTAGGGTGGGTTCCTTCAGCCCAAGAAATCACCCTCTTGGCCACCATAGTAATGCCAAGTCTCCTGTTTGTGTTTTTCCTTTGGTGATCTCTCTTTCCTTCCTGGTGATTTTTCTCAGTGAATGATGTTTTATAGTTTCTACAATGAGCCTAGATGTAATTTTCTACTTGTCTTGCTCAGGTAGTGCTGTGAAGAAATTTTTAAAGATGTAATTAACATTTAAATTGATAGAGTTTACTTAAGTAGATTACCGTCCATGATGCGGATGGGCCTCATCCAGTCAGTTGAAGGCCTCAGTAGACAAAGATGGAATTTTGCCTCCAGACCGACTTTGGACTTGAGTGGTAACCTCAGCTCTTCCCTGGGTCCCCAGCTTACTGGTCTGTCCTAAAGATTTTGAACTTGCCAGACCTCACGATAATTACATGAGCTAATTTTTAAAAGTGTCTCCTTCTTTCCCCACACACATCCTGTTGATTGTATTTCCCTGGAGTTCCCTGACCAATACAACAGGTAAACAATGGAAATTTGTAGAACACACTTGTGTTTGAGGTTTTGTTTCTCAGGGGTGATTTTGTTTTCATCTGCAACTCTGGAAAGAGACAAGTATCACTGGGGATCCCTGGGTCCACAAGTGGAGCTCATAAATTGTTTCATAATTTGAAGCAACTGTCTGTCCTCCCAGGGTCTCCAGATTCTCTTTAGGGTCCCCAAACTCCATCTTTAGCTCTTATGTGGACACCAACACTCCAGCCACTAGCCATATATATTTGGTAAATATCTTCTTGGACCATTAAAGCTTCAACCCAAGGTTCCCACTCTAACTAGAAGTTTCTTCTTTTTATTTCTTGCATACAAAGGTTCTATTTTTATAAGCTCAACTATATCTGTAAAATTTTATATATATATATATATATATATATATATATATATATATATATATAATGTATACATGCATATATATGTATATATCTCTATATATTAACCAGTAATTTTATGGGTTTGCGGAGGGAGTAGAAGTTCATGTTAGCTCAGACTGTCTTATTTCTGGAAACTTAGAACAGAATAGCCCTTCATGTTGGTTGAAGACATGTCTTAAGTGTTTGTTCCTTACTAAGCCTTCTCAGTTGACCCTCACACAATAAGGTGCCTCATCCATTCTACTTCTCTTCTGCCAGTTTGTTCATGTCCTTCTTACAGAGCAGGACTCCAGCCAGAGCTGGGTTCTCTGCTATGGCTACACCAGGGTCAGAGGCCATTGTCAATTCATGGTCTGGATCTTTATCCCTTGCAAAGATTTGAGGTCCCAGGTTTTAAGCTAAAACCTCACTGTATTGCTAAAGACTATGCTTCCCTAAACCTATAGGGCATGGGGAGGGGGAAAGAACTGTTAAGAGAGGCTTGGAGGGTGTCAAAGCAGGGCAGTGGAGGGGAGTTCAGGCACCTGAGTTGTGGCCCTACTTGTGCAGTCTTGCAGTGACATTCAGCAGCCCTTTCTCAGGATCAGGGACTTAGGGCAAAAAGCTGCAGGAGTCTGCCCCAGTGTTTTCTTAATTATTTAGGCTATTATTTGCTTTTGATCTACTCACCCCCGCATCCCCACCCCAGCTTAGAATTTTCTTTTGTTTAGGCTGTTCCGTAAGTACCTCAACTCCATGAGAAAACTTGCCAATTTTCTGTTTGGTATTCTGCTGTGATAAGCTTGGATTTTATAACTTCAGGTCTTTTGTAGAAAGGTGGGAGCAGGGACCTGTAGTCTAATGGAGATAGTTGCCAAGTGATCATTTGTGTAGCGTAGATCAGGAGTCACAGGAGTTATCGCCTCCAAAAGGGAGGGGAAGGGAGAGATCAGGTAGAAAAATACCTGCCATGTGACCTTTTCCAAATCCTTAATCTCTCTGAGCCTTGATTTCTCTATCTGTGGAGAGGAAGTGCCTGACTTTGATGCACACCCCTGCCACAAAAAGATCTGAGCTTTGATTCTTCTGAAAGTTGGTACTATGGGGTCATGCTCTTGGGATTAGGTTGCATCTCTTTCTTACTTTGTAGCTTTAGGTCTCAGAGTGGCTTTTCAAAATTCTTGAAGTAAAAATAATTGCAAAACTTTTATATGGTGATCACGACTGGCCCAGCACTGTTCAAAGCACCTTCTAAGACTGTCTCACTTAATCTTCACAATACCCCCATGAGCTAGTTATTATCTTCATGTTGGGGCTAGGAAAACAAAGACAGAGAGAAGTTAAGTACCTGCCCAGGATCATCAGGGCTAGAGTCAAATGTGGGCTGTTCTGACTCTAGAGGCAGGACTCTTATTAGCCCCTAGACTCAAGCACTCAGAGGCAGGGAGCTTGGGGGTTCAGAAAAGCCAGGGAGATACTTTCAAAGAGAAAAAAACCAGAGGGAAGAGGGCACACAATGGGGATATGACTCAGTCTTGGTGGGAAGATTTCCCAGAAAATATGTACTAAGCTGAGATCGGGGATGAGAAGCCTTAACTAGAGAAAAAAGATGAAAGGAACTTGGCAAGCAGAGGGATCTGGAGATCCCAAGGAAACAGTGAGAACCAGAGGGTGTCTGTGCACTTGGAGTTCAGAAGGTGACGGGGAGTAGGGTCTAGTAAGGCTGGGGAGGTGGTCAGGGTCCTGCCTCTGAAGGCTCTTTGTGTCTCTGTCTCAGGATCTCTCAGCCTTAGCATTGTTGACATTTGGGGCTGAAGAAGTCTTTGTTGCGGGTCTGTCCTGTGCATTGTAGGATGTTTAGCAGCAACCCTGGCTTCCACACCCTAGCTACAAAAGTACCCATGTTCTGAGCTGTGACAACCAAAAATGTCTCCAGACATTAGCACATGCACCCCTGGGGACAAAATTGCCCCTGATTGTGTATTCCTGAGCAAGATATGTCACTGTTTTGGCATCTATTCTTATTATCCAGATGGACACTGAGTTATGGCGTCACTTTCTAGACGTGAGTATTGGCTTAGGGCTCCTCTGACCAGGTCACAACCAGACCTGACAAGGCAGGTACAACTTCCCTGATTCCTTCCTTGGCAACGGCCATGCTCAGATGGAGTTATCACCATCCAAGTGGAAGAAGATCAGAGAAGTACATCAGGGTCAGAGCAGAAGCAGAGGTGTTCCTCCCTCCCAGTGTTTCAATACAACACGAGAATTTCCCAGCTTGCCCCGTCCTCTTCCCAAAAACACAAGCATCAATGCACAGTGCTCAACAAAGCATTTAGTTTTACAGAGTAAATGACCTTAAATCAGAAAGAACCGAAATGAGATTCTTGGCATTAATGGGAATAATAAGCTGACTGCTCTGAAGGTCTTAAATACTGCTCCTTTATTTATGGGAATTTGTACTTTTCAAACTCAATATCAAGCTTTTCTGAATTTTTTTGTTAAGTGTTTTCTGCTGCTGCCAAATGGCCCAGGAAATATGAAAAAGAGTTGTATTACCTAGCACATTTCTTTATCACCTGTGAAATGAAGTTCTAGATGCTCTGCCTGTTCTTTTTATTATATGGTGGGAAGATTATGTCAATACTACAATCTGGTCTATTGAGGAATCTTGGAAAGGTGACTTTATCTGGGCCCTTTGTCTTCTTGTTTGTTGTAGAAATTCTGAGTTCCTTTGCCCTCAACCTGTAAGTCTTTCAAAGGAGAACACCATTTGACTAAAAAAACATATCATAGTTCCAGAAAGCTCATCCACAAAGCAAACCGTGCAATAGCTTTTTTCACATTTAGTGGCCTGTTCCCCTAATTTCCTGTACCTCTGACCTGCTATTGCCCATGAACCCTTGTAGAAAGCTGGGATCCTGGGCTGGGAGCCACCCCTCAGAAAGAACCCTGATCAGAAAAGCCACCTTGTCTCCTAGCTGTGAGCTCATTGAGGGCTGCCTGTGGCTCTGAGAGCCAGAGCTCTTTGTCCAGGTCATAATTAACATCGAAGTGTCCAACTCTCCTGTTAAATGATTCTCTGTTTCACATCAGAAAAGGCTGCAGAGTGGTCAACCAAAATTTAGAGTTTGAACTTAAGAAAAAAACCCAGAGGTATCATCCACAACTGCAAAAATAGTATTTATTGAGAAGCTTCTAGTAAGTCAGCCCTATGCTTTATCTACTTTAATTATTACATGTCCTCTATGAGGTAAATACTATTGTTGTATTCATTTCACAAAAAGGAAAATTGGGCTTAGGGAAATTTAATAGTTTTCTCAAGGTCATGCAACTTCTAAATGGTAGAGCTTGGGAACCTAAAGCCCAAGTGCTACCTCCTGTCCTCTACATTTGCTGCCTCTTGGTACTTTTAGAGACTATGGAGAAATTTAGAGGGGTTTCTTGGTGTTCCCAGAGAAATCTATCTTTGGGGCACAGAGAAATCTTGAGAAGACCACATCGTAAGTATTTCTGAAAGAGTTGATCTAATGCACGTCTTTTGAGCTGTGCTGGGATGGGCACATTCTAAACTCTCTATTTAAAACATACTGTTATTCAGCCAGGCACAGGGGCCCACACCTGTTATCCCAGTGACTTGGAAGGCTGAGTCGAGTTTGAGACCAACCTGGACAACTTAGCAAGACCCTATCTGAAAATAAAATACAAAGGCCTGGGGTGCAGCTCAGTGATAGAGCACTGTGCCAAGCCCTGGGATCAATCCCTAGGAACCTCCCCCTAATTTTTTTTAAAGCTTCATAGCTGTAAATATCAGTTTCATTCATCAAGTTTTTCATTGTCTTTGTAAATGCTATTTATAAAGACCATATGGATCCTTCCCCTTTGGCACTATGGTAAACGAAGGTGGTGTCTCTGGGCTTCAGTTTCCTTATTTTTCAATGAGGAATTTGGGCAGCTTGATTGCTAGTCTCTCTTGCTTTAAGGCTTGGTTGTCACACACGTGTGCACACATGAAGCCCAGTTAAAGGCCTGGTATCCTAGTCTTGAAGCATCCGTCATGTTCCGCTGACTCCCATTATGTAGAATTTGGTTTCCAGGTGGTTAATTACGATACTTGAGATTTGCAACCCCAGTCATCTAAACAGCTGGCCTCCTTGCATAGTTCCCACCCCTCACTCCCCTGGAGCTCTAACCAGTGACCATTGTGGTAAGCCAAATTATCTTGCCTGTTCTAGGGGGTACTCCTGCTATCCCTGGGAGAGTATTTGAGCAAGATTTCCACTCTACAGGCTGAAGAAGGAGTCACATCCATCCCTGCCTTCCTGACCAAGGCTGAAATGGGCTACAGGTAGACCTGCTCCTAGAGGTCTATTCTAAGGCATGAATTTCTGTAGGACAAACTTGCTATGGTGAAGGTGGAGAATACCAGAAAGAAGGGAAGCTGGAAGGATGACTCATCTGGGTCAGCCCCAGGGGCCTCAGGAGATGTCCTGCCTCCTCTGAGGTCTGTTGGAACTGATCTCACATGCAGCGAAAGAAGGATTCAGGGGAGGAAGGGTGGATCTAGGTGGGTGCGTTCACATATATGAGAGAAGTGGGTAGTGGGAACTTAGGTTAGTTATTGTACCAATAATACTGAGGCTTAGAAACAAAAGGGAGAGGAAAAATTAGAATGATTTAATATTGACAAAAGTAAAAATTATGGCATCCTGGTGGGAGGTAAAATTTGATAGACTATATTATAAAGATGGGGAAATGTTATTGTGTGGTGTAGAGCAGGGGTCGGTTAGCAAAGTTCATCCCATGGGTCAGAAATGTTTCTGTAACATAACTTACTGTTATACCTGCTCATTCATTTATGTATTTCCCGTGGCTGCTTTTGTGCTTCTGTGGCAGTGTTGAGTTGCAGCAGAGACCCTGTGGCATCCAAAACCTAGGATATTTACTATCTGGTCCTTTAGAAGTTTGCTGGTCCTTGAGGTAAGAGGAAAGAATTCATTGTTCCAAGTCCTGGATCTACACTTGCTTATCTAATCTGCCTTCCCGAGTCTTCATTTCTCATCTGTGAAATGGGAATCAATTACCTCTGCCAACTAACCACCAAACTCATGGAGGACTTACGATACTGAATACCTTAACGGATATCAAAATGTAAAGAGTTAAACAAAGACTACCTATTATTAGGGCTCTTTCATAAGCATATGGTAAAAGGGAGAAGACAATGAAAGTTGTTTTTTCTCAATAGAGGTCAAGAGGAAATAAATAATAGATGATTGCTAAAAAGTACATTGATTTGTGTCAGCTAATGTATACTTTTGAGACAAGCTAAGCTGAATTATTAAAATTAAAGGGAAAGAAATAACAGTCATAGCTGTCTTGAGAGAGATTGAAGACTGTCAAGTGTGAGGTCCAACGGTGTGTTGGGGCAGCCAGAGGGGATTCAGGTATTGGCCGAGCCACTCAGGAGTGACAGGGGGCTGAGGGGAGGATTGGGGAGACAAATCCAGGAAGTGTTGCATGGGATATGTTTATACAGTTATTCATTGTTTATCTGAAATGCAATCTAGCTGGGCATCCTGTATTTTCCTTTGCTAAATCTGGCAACCCTCCCCTAACCCAGAATGGATTTGTTAGGGTGGCCAGTAACAGAGCCGTGCCCCCGATCACAACAGTGTGTCCAGATTCTAGGTCCAGAAACTGAATCTTAAGCAGAGACAAATTAGGATAGAAGGCAGAAGGAGGGGATCATCGGATGGCAGGGTTCTAGGAAGATCTTCAGAGCCACCTTGTTCTGTCTTTTCAGGGCCCATGGATCCATTTTTCTTTGAATCCTGCAGACTGTGCTTTTCACTTCTAATCTGTCCCTTTCTGTTCCTTAAACTAGTCAAGTTAGTTTCGGATGCTTCTCTTCTCGTCAAAGAGTCCTCACTCATGTATATCCACACACCCCAAAGCATATTTGATAAACTGCTGTGAGGACCAGCGCTAAGTGGACAGAGTGAAGGGAAGGCCAAGTAGTGAAGGCCTTTTTGAAAGAGTCCCCAGACCTAGGCAGAAAGGAGGAGAAGAGGGCACACTGGGCCTGGAATCTGGTGCTTTTTACATCTGCTACAACAGAAAGTAACAGGAGCCACTAAAGAAAGGCTCTTGAGTGGGAGAAGGACTTGATGACAATGACATTGCATTTACAAGTTATTTCTAATGCTAGCTTTTAAGTGCTCTGGTAGGGAAGCTGACTGGGGGGTGGGTGCTGCTTTCATGGCCCAAGTACAGGCTGGGAGTCTGGACTAGGAGAAGCTGACACAGTGAGTTCATGGGCATAATCGGTGCAGAGGAGATTGCTGGAGTCAGTGCCTTTCTGGTCACAGGGAGTGTCCAAGTGAGAGAGCTCCAACTGGGTCATGAACAGCAGTAACTCAGCCCAGGGAAGGGGTGCTGCCAACACACGGGCCTCCCAGGGCTCACAGCTGCAGGGCAAGACCATGAGGGGTGCAGCAGGAAAGGAACAACCCATTATTCTGGCTGGCGCTGTGTCTCCCCTGCGGGGGAGGGATGTGGTGAGAGTGGAGACTGCAGCAGAAAGTGACAGGGATGATTAAAGGGATGGAAAATCAGGCCCATGAAGAAAGGTTAAAGGGATTGCAGCTATTTAGCCTGGAGAAGAGGGGTGGCATGTAATAGCTCCCTTCATGCCCATGCAAGGTTGTTAATAGACACGCGCTAGGCAGCTGCCCTGCATATCTGCATATCCGGGGAAGACAGCACCCCCCAACTGGCTGGGCACCTCGAAGGGCGGGAGAGGCAGGCTCCGGAGGCAGGCAGAGGCATAATTATAAAGGCTCTTTTGTGGTCTCTGAAGGCCCCTCTCCCCTCCTCTTTGTTTTCTGCATCTGTCATTATGCCCTGCAAACCACAGCCAGGCCTCTTGACAGTCCCAATATCTGCTTTCCTGCACACTTGGAAGGTAATGTGGCTATAAAATTGACAAGTTAGATAAATGCCAGTACAAAGGGTGACTGTGTCTGGCTGCTCCGAGCCTTCTGACTGGTCTCAAACCCGACCCGGATAAATCGTCCCCGCTCTACACTTCCCGTCAGCCTCGGCCTCCTCTATCCCATCTGGGCTCCTGATTGACTCCCCAGGAGTTCACATTTGCTCTCCTCCCTGTCTCATTTGTCACTCTGGCAACTTGTGACGTTTTTAAAGTTTCTCCCCAGGTCAAATATGTTTCATTTCACTTTTCTTTTCCAATGGAAAACGCTCCTTCCTTGTTGCCAGGGCCATCTCTGGCTCTCTTGGCCGAGCTGCCATGACCCGTACTCAGGCCAAAAAGCCACAGTCTATCCTGGAGAAGGCCCAGAGGAACTGACCTGGACCTCCTCAGATCCTTGCTGGGGTCACTGAGGGCCTCCTTCTGTGGTGGCTGAATTTCCTGATCTTCAGCTGCTGGAGGAGGCAGGTTATGAGCCACACAGTCAGACACTTCAGCAAGAGGAGAGAAAGGTTCAGAGCTAAAATATTTTGGTTTTAGTCCTGTGGTTAATGAAGGGCGGATGTCAGTGAGCTTCACCTGGTGCTGGCATAGTCCTCTGGGTAGGTGAGCAGAACCCAGAGGCCAAATCGCCACCAAGAAGTCCTGTCAGGAACCAGGAGCTCAACTGTCCCCATCTGGCTTTATTACCATGTCAGAGATCACATCGGCCATTGACAGACTCGTCCCGGGTAGACCTAGGTATCCATGTGTCTGGGACCCGGGGCCAGGCAGAGGCTGCTCAACCCAGGATTCAGGGACAAGCTGAGCAAGGCCCTAAACAAGCGTCATGCTCTGTCCCCTTTTCCCTGTGGCTAGGGGGCTGTCCAGAGGGCAGGTCTGGCTTGTGTTCACCCTGTGACTCTGCAGTGCACAGCATACGGATGGACACCCAGCAGTAGATGAGCCCTGGGGCAGTTGGGACGATGGCCTCAGGAGCAGCGGAAATGCTTGATGTTCTCCAGCCGTTACTGCCCCCTCCTTCCAAGGTGTTTGTGAACACTGAACAGCACAGCCACACAAGTCCTTGCCTCGCACGCTCTTTCTGGAGAGGACACGCATGCGCCCTAACCATCACTCTAATAATTGACTCTCAACATGACTTATCCGATGGAATTGATGGAGCAAAGGAAGGGACCATGGAAAGGCTGGAATTCTGGGATCTGGACATTTCTCATTTTATGCAGCTCTGCGTTCTCAGCTCGTGATCTCTGCGCCCCTGACCATGGCCAGCCTGGGACAGAACAGCTGGCCTGGACCTGGATTTTACCTTTGTTGGTTGCTGCCTTTCTTGGTGGCTTATCTCCTCCTCCTCCTCCTCCTCCTCCTCCTCCTCCTCCTCCTCCTCCCATGCAAGAGAGCACAGGAGCCCTTGGATCTGCAAAGAGGCGGGCCCATCTCTCTGCTCCATTCCACTGGAAAACTCAGAACAATTCCTATTATTTTCGGTTCCCAGACCTTGAATGTGTCAGGCTTCAGGTTCACTTCCTACATCTCTCCCCGTCGCCCGGATCTGCAAGTAATTTAACCTTGTTTTCATAGAGCGCAAAGACGTTCAGCTTGTTTACACTGGAGACAAATTTTCCTCAATTGACGCAATCCTATTGATTAAATAATGACTTTCTTCCTCATTTAAAGGTAATTTCAGTTGGTTTCATGACATGGAGGAAGAAGCTGAAAGCCTTTTCTGTCTTGTGTATGAAGGGCAGACTCTGAGGGCCGCCTCTCAGAACTCTGAGCAGGGCTTTCTCACCTGTTCTAGAACCTCCACAGGCAGGCGGCGGAAGGAGGCAGTGCCTGGACTCTGAGGATGTTGGCTGAACACGGTCAGATCATGATTGGGGGAATTAAAGGGTGGCACTGGCTCTGGAATGAATGTCAAGGCTAGGGCTGAGTAGACGCTGCTTTGTTTTAAAAATGCACTTGATTTGCTTTCAAGATTATTAATATCTATTTAAAATGGATCTGTACATGCACAGTTTTTCAAGGTCACGTCGCATGATAGATAGGATGTGTCATTTGAGCCAAGGACTTAAAATCAAAGGGAAAGGAAGTGGTGTGTCAGGAAGAACTGCAGAGAACAGCACATGTGGAAGAGGCTCCGAGGTGGGGGATGAACAGAGTTGGGAGCACTGGGGAAGCCCCTACTTTTGTCTGGGCCTCGTTCCCCCTCGTTGGTAAAACAGGGACAACTGGATCAGATAATTTCTTAGGCACTCTCTCCCTTCAGTGTTCTCTGATACAATGAAATCTGGAAATTAAAAAAAAAAAACTGTTTCATTCCAAATCCTTCTGCTGTGTATTCTGATAAGGAAAGAGTAGAGGATGACATTTAGGAGGAGGAGCCCTCTCTTCCATCGCCTGTTCGTGAGGTATCTGCAGTGCTGTTTGAAACTAGGTACCACTGTGTCCTAGGTGGGAAGGTATATTATGCAATGGTTTTTAAAAAAACTTCCTAGGGACTAGGGGTAGAGCTTAGTGGTAGAACACTTGACTAGTATGTGTGAGGCTCTGGGTTCGATCCCCAAAGTTTTAAGTACTCAGTGCTTGCTGAGCACCTAATACATGCTGGGTCCCAAACCAGGAGCTCCCACATATATGATTTTCTTTTTTTGATTCCTACAACGGGGCTTCTGAGAGGGGACTATGCTCCCATTTGCCAGATGAAGAAACTGAGGCTCCAAAGGGCTTCATGTTGTTTGAAGTGTTACCACTAGAGAGCAGCGGAATCAGTCCAGTCTCCTCTCTGCTTTCATCACAGGCCCCTACGTTGGGCTGGGCAGTGGCATGGGCTGCAATTCTTGCTCTGCCCCTCACTAGCTGTGTGGCTTGAACAAACTACCTGACCTCTCTGAGTTTCAGTTTCTTTACCTGTGACCGGTTGACTTACCTTTGTCAGTTGTCATGAAATGCAAAACAGTATCATATGAAGGTGCCTAAAAACACTGCCTGGCATGGTACAGGTCTGTGTCCATTGCTTTCCTCCTTGTCAACAAGATGCTTTGGTTTCGTGAAGTTGACAGATTAATCGGTCTTACTGGGTTGGGATCCTCAGGGCCCAGTGGAGAGCAGGGCATGGAGCAGACACTCAATAAATATTTGTTCAATGAACAGATATGCAGTGCTTGTATCTACAGATGCCAACCATCTGGATACTTCAGAGTGATGGATTATTGACTTTTCATCTGAATGCTGGATGTCATCCTGGAATATATACAGCCAGAGTCATCTGAAATGATAGGAACACAGTCACATCTCACTGATGCAGATTCATTGGGGGGAAACATGTAAATCAGTGAGAATCTGCAGGTGATTTATTCTTTTTATATAACTCTGGCTATGTCCCTGAGGTTATTTATTTACCCTCCCCTCCCATCCATCTATCCATCCATCTGTTCAGTCATTCACTGGTAGCCTAGAGGTGGTCTCAGGGGCTC